GGCAAGTTAATAAACCTCTTTCTTCCCACAGTTTTCCAAACATAGGTGCCATCCCATATGCATATTTAGAATCTGTAAAGATATTCAATAGCTTGCCTTGGTATAATTCACAGGCTCTTATTAGAGAATACAATTCTGCGGTTCGGGCTGACCAGGTAGACTGCAGCTTTCCTCCTTCTAGCAGCTCCCTCTCCTTAATGATAGCATATCCTGTAACCTGTTTTCCTTCTATTACTCTTGAAGATCCATCAATAAAGAGAGTGTCCCCATGCAAGAAGCTGGGTTAAACCCTCCCTCGCTTCAGAAGCCCCTTCAGGTAGCAAGGCAAGGTATGGGACCTTGACATCATGGGATCCCTCTGTGGTCAGTTTTCAGACCTCAGTTACCATTAGGACCGTACCTGCGCAATTCTGCAGACAATATGGGTCTAACATATAAGCTATTGGTATTCACATGCCTCCATGCTTTTGCACTAAAATTCCCTTGCTACGGCTCTGTTTGACATCCACGTATAATTCAAATTCTTTCTCTGTGTCCAGAAGAGCTAAGGCCGGAGCCTGGGTCAATTTATCTTTTAATTTTCTAAAGCTCTGTTCTCCTTCTCATGTCCATACCACAACATTGGCGCTGTTTTGGGTTAAACCTCCAGCCAAAATATGCTCCAAATATATATATAATATACATATATATATATATTTTTCCCAACACCCTAAACCCTTTTTGGGCCAAGAAATTGAGTAACTTCACAGCAGTTTCCTTCACCACCCTCTCTTGTTCACCTGATAGGGGCAAGTCATACTGAAATAACCTGGCTCCTGGGGGTAGGATAAATTCCTTCAGTATTTTCTGCAAGGCTTGTCCAAGTAGGACTGGTGCCTTGGTGTATCCTTGCAGGAGGACTGTCCATGTCAATTGGTGTTTTATCATTTTTCCTGAAATTGCCCACACTTCTGAGTTCACTTCAGCCTAGCTTTATCAGACACTTCGCACAAAGTCACAGTAGTGCTAACTTCTTTATCATCCCCCACAATATCAATTGACACTCCCAATCCAGCCATCAACTCCAACCCCTCAGCAGATTGCAATCACAGTTTGGGCGAAAGGGACAAAATGTCCCATTCCTCCTTTTCCTCACTGTCCCCCCTGTAGAGAGGGGACAGGAGCTGTGGTTCCTGATAGCTTTTGGTGATAAGATGGGGAAAGGTACTGGAGGACATCCCACACCTCCCTATCTGTTCTTTCCCCCCGCCCCCCTTCTTCAGATTCCTGCTTCACTTTTTCTCCTCTCTCTCTTGTTACATAGATTCCTCTAGATGTTGCCCTTAACCATATTGATGCACATCCTTTCTCGATGAGACCCTTCTCAGTAACACTGCGATACTGGCACAAAACCTGACAAAGACTAGGATCGTCGTCCGACCCTACAGGGGGCCATCTAAATCCCCCTGGTAACTTATATTCTGGCCAAACAAAACAATATTTTATCATTAGTTCCTTGTGTTATTTCTGGGGGAATGCACAGGTTATCCCAAACCCTCAAAAGTCTTCCCAAGGGACTATATGGATATTAAGTCGAGGTCATCATTCCTTTTCCCAGCATCCTCTTTTGGCTTCCCTGTGCTGCTCTCCCTGGATGTCCATGTCGGGGTCATCACCCCTTTTGTTCTCCACTGTCCCATAGTACTCACCAGTGAGATTTGGTCCTTTCCAACGTCAGACCTGGTCCATTCCATCAAACTTAGCACTACCCGGAGGTCCTTTCCTTCAGACCTAGTCCTTTCCGTCGGACTTAGCGCTACTCGGAGGTCCTTTTCCGTCGGACCTAGTCCTTATCGTCGGAGCACTTGAGGACCCCCGCCCGGTCCTACCTGCGGATTCAGGCCCAGGTCCTAGCCTGCCTCTGGGCACAGGCACCAACTTGCCATAAAAGCACTGAGATTCATGAACGGCCAAACCTTAAATGGAGAACCTGTGCACAATCGCACAGAGACTTGTTTGAAATTTAAAAAAAATAAAAAAAAAAAAAAGATTTTTTTTTCAGGAGTAGGTCTAGGAAGATCTCCGAAAAAAACTCTGGACAACTCATCATATGAAAATGCAAAATAACTGCTAGACTGAGTGGGGTAACTCAAGAAACCCAAAGGAAGAACTAAGAAGTAACATGAGCTCCTCTCTCACCATGAGATAACACAGCATCAAATCACAAGGAATGAGGAAAAGCAGCCCTTGCAGGGCAGGGAAAGAAGAAAATATTTACCAAAGGGTAGGTGAAAGTACAAGGTGTCCTAACCTACTGCCAGGAAAGGAGTGGCCATCCATCCCTAGGGAACCCAAGCCAGAAGCAGAAGAACCACCATCACTGTGACCAGTTTGACAAGCTACTATGGTCCTTTGTTGTTAAGCTAAAGCTCTCCAATGTCTCTGGGCTCCTTTCATAATGGGTTCCAAGTTCAAAAACATTGTAATCCCAAATGTAGTGAAGCTACTAGATGTAAAATTTAGTTTGATAACAAAACAGTCTCACAGCAACCTGCCAAACATTATTCTGGATTTGGCAAAACAAGGTGACAGGTTCTTCACATACCTCTGTCCATGGTTGCAAACACAAGTATGATAACGGCGGTACAATTCACAGTCATGTTACAAAGGCCATTTTGAGAAGAGGAGAAAAGTTATTACAGCACTTAATACAACCCTTCTGCCACATGCAGCAACCAATGACTCTTTCAGGAGGCAGCAAGGGCCTGTAGGAAATTACAAGGAAATTCAAGGAAATTACATCTCTTTATCTTAAAATAATAACAATAATAAGCAAAATTCCCTGATTTTGATGAACTATCCAATTTAACTTTCCATGAAGGTGATGGGCTCCAGTAATCCTTCAGTCAGTCACAATATGAACTCACATTGATGTTTGGAAGT